TTCGTCAAGAGTTTTCACAGTCTCCGGCACGGATCTTATCCAATCCCGTTTCTCAAATAAATCTTCGACATTGCGCGGCGTTGCTCTCAGCTTTACTGTGATCTGCATATAATCAGTTAATACAACCTCGATCTGCGCCCTCAGGCTGGTAGCGAACATGATGAGCAATTTCGTGCAGCAGTCATGCCGTTTCTGTATTAAGGGACTGTTCGCAGAGAACTGATGTTCACCCGGAAAGGCCCGATAACGATGTCCTTCGGCGGTAGCTCAAGCTCGAGAATCGATTTCATCCTCAAGTGAGAAGATATCTCGTCCTTGATTCCCGCAACGGTGTGGTCTGCGTTGTTGAAATCTCCGCAAAAAAAAAAAAGATTAAACTTTGTGTTTTTATATTCCAACGCGCATTCTCGTTTTTGTCTGTAAAGCTGATCAAATGGATTTTTTTTTCGGACGGAATTCGGAACTAACTCCACGCATTTCTCGACGTCTAATTTGTAAATTCCTAAATACTGTCTATACTCGCTCGCATACGCCCTAAGGGAGATTATTGACTTCTGATAAGCGGTTCTCAGACGGTCTCGGACGGTCTTGGCAAACTTCCAGTAAGCCGATCGAATTGAGATACAACTCCTTTGGAAAATTCAAAGTGGGCGACAAGAAGGGATGAAATTGTTCAATTTGTTGACATTGTCTTACGGAATAATCCAGAATGGTTACAATAACTTCCTGAAAATCAATCAAATCAATTTCCAAATACACGTTTTTATACAAAAAAAAATATACAATTGGATGTTCTTCACCTCAAATGATTCGAGATCTGTCGAATATCCAACAGAATTTTCATTTATCGTGATATCAATATTGAAGACGAGATTCAGCGAGGATCTAAATTGTGTGTTCACGAGATATCGTTCCCCCGATACGAAATCTTCATTTGCTTTTAACGCACAGAGTGCTGGGGTTTCCAACATTTCTAAGTTCAAAGCAATCGATCTTTTCACGAGATTCCGAAGCGCATTTCTGCGTCAACGAAGAAAATATTACGTTCAAGTAAAGAATGTCAATAACATCTTATTGATTACACGAGATCGCATTCCTTGTGATTTCCGTATGCTCTTATTTCAATATTTCAAGTATTTCACGTTTTATAACGTTTTGTAATACCTTATATTTTGTAACCAGTCTCACAGTACCTGCATTCGATGAGTAACGAGATCCGTAAACCGCTTCAATTTTGTTTTATTTGTACGTAATCTTTTTGCTCGAAATCAAATTCGTTACCGACGTCTCTTAGACACAGTCTGACCGATTGCGTGACTTTTTTCAATCACGTGTCTCTCAAATATTTTATCGCTATGCCGGTCTCCTGGTACTGCTGCGACTCGAATTCCGACAGATACGTCGATTTTCCGTAATTCGAAATGAAAAGATCCATATTCGATACGTAAACGCATTCGACAGCCACGCATTTCATCGCCTCGCACACCTCCGCCGTTGACATACAACACCGTATGGTGAAAAAAAATTTTTTTTTCCTACAATGATCCCTTTGATTAAAGTTGAAAAACGCGCGTGAAATGCGTTTATACGCAGCGAGCGAACGCAGACGCGTTTCTCTACACACACCTCGAAATCCCTGTGCACAATTTTCGTCGTTTCTGGTGCCTCGGTATCTCGCGGGGCATCAGTTTCCGTCCGCGCAATGAAATCAAACATTTCCGGTTGTTTCTCCATGAGACATCTCCACGTAAGATAGCACATCACACGCCGATAGTCCAGCACGATTTCATTCATTAACTGAATGTCGCGTCGTCAAAAGATCGGTAATTAAATGACGCAAGTAATAGAGACGCTTGTGTGCTACCCTACATTAGAAAGATTTTTCGAGTCGCATTTCATGAAACCTCGTCAGGTGGCAGAGAGAGAGGATTATGTTTTCCTGCTGCTTTTCATCCGGCGTCGGCGTACTCTCTACCGGCATGCAAGTCCAAATAAAAGTGATATCTACATATAATTATACGAATTCACACATCGCAAAAAAACAAAAAGAAATTACCACAAGGATCTCAAAACTATTATGCTAAAATATTCCATGTTTACATTATGAGGCACGTGGTTTATTCGGAATTTTGGGTGCATTTTTATCACCTCCCGTTATTTTTTCGTCATATATATTTTACTAGATGTAACTTGACGCTTCGGATATAAATAGTAAATATTGATCATTATTCCGCGCGAGATAAATAAAAATCAGAGGAGAGAAAGAAGGAAAGATTTTAATAAAAACGGAATGTTATTCTGGAGTACTTAGTGCTCGATTCTTAACTTGTTATAGTTTTTATATTCTGGCAAACAAAAAATATAAACATGTAAAAAAACAATCCAGGAGAGTGTATTTTCTCTCATGACTTAAAAAAGTTTAAAATTTTGTCATAATAGAAAGAAGAAGAAACTCGACAAGTTTTACTTTTATCTGAAGTCTGAGATTAAGAAGTTAAAAGCACTCTCTCTTCTGCATTCTAAGTAATGACGCTGGAAAACGTAATTACCTCGCAAGATGTATAACTCTTATTTACACACACATATACAAAATGTATTATAAAATTAAGATAATTTTAACAACTTTATATATTTTGTCTGTCTTTTTGAAAAAAAAAAAAAAAAAAAAAAAAAACTATTTACTTTTTGCTCAAAACCTTTGAGTTAAAATTCCGCTTTCTTGAAATGTATATAAATTAACTTAATAGTGGTTAAAGCGATTTGTCTTTCTTTAACGGCAGACGCCACTCTCCGTGCAAATTTTTTGGGATCTTCCGCATAGAACCGAACGTATATCCTGAGCAGACGGAATTTTCGTTTAAGACCATCCAATGTGAGAACGGTCCAGAGTTTTCTTTCGTTATCGTAATCTGTGACAGCAGCGGGAAACCAGTCGTACAAATTGTTCAGCAATTTATCATAGCGGTCGAACATCCATTCTTTGCGTGCATTTTTTTCAACAAATACCATGATTGGTAATGGATAACGAACGCCATCGATAATTCCGAGATTTATCCAATTGTCTACTGTCCTATCAAATTGCAAACAATATTTTAAGTAATATATTGTACTTTTACAAACAATCGCGAATATAAAATAATCATTCGCTTTGGCACTTCCGAAAACAATATAAAACGCGTGCGGAATATAAAATAAATTTAAAAAGATAAATAAATAAACTGTTGCAGTAATAAAACAAACAAATTTTATATGACGTTAAAATAAAAATTTCATTGATATAAATGTTTGTTTTAACTTTTCAATTTAATTAAAATTTTTTTTTAATTATCTGCGGACAAAATTACAGTTGACAAGTGGTAGATAAAATTTAAATTTAAATAATTAATTAACTCTTAATAATGTTCTAAGATTGTTGCTTTAGAACGAATTTTTCAACGACGTGAGAGCCACGTGTTATGATATTCAGTTTGGAAGTTTAATAGCCTGTATTTGCTCGTGATGTACAAATTTCCATCTATAGGATGAAGTTAAGGTTCTGGAATTTATCACCGCAGAAATTTACTAAAACTATAAAATTGATTTTCAAGCTTGCAAGCTTCTCTAATTCTATTTCTAGAATAACCACAATGTACTTTGTGTATCATGTAATATAATGTTATCGTTGTAATAACGTGAAAGAGAGCTTTGTTATAAACTGTTGTCTTGTCTCAAAGAAGAGTATCTGTTATAAACTATTCTTAGATGAAATATGCATTGTACATACATACACACACACATTGTTAGAAATTATATTGCACATTATATATATTGTTACGCTCGCTGAAGTGAGATATCGCCGGTCACTGAGATTCACGCGCGCGTTCGCGGCGAAGAAGAAGCGCAGTTTCTCTCTCAAAACACTCTATTACCACTCAGAATACAAACGATATCAGAATACAAATTGTATCAGGACGAATCGTCGAAGCGCAACGTGACAGCTCTCCGTTGCAATTCTTTTTAAATAAACTCGCGAGTCGCCCAACAAACAGTCGCGCCGTTCACGCGGCTTCCGCGACACATACGCGATTACCGCCGCGCGTAACATTTTATACCTTCCTATTCCATTTTCTAGTCCAAATAGTATACTATCCAGCGCTGAATCATTTTTCGAATGCATAGCAACCATATTGAACAGAAAACTAACAGTATCTACTTTTCTTTGCATTCACAATATTTCTAGTATCACTTTTTTTTGCAATTGTAGTGGTAAAGAGTTAGACCTGGTTTATGCGGGCAAATAAGACCTTGTTTAGGCCTTGTTTATGCGGGTAATAACTGTTAACTTAATTATGCCGGAACTGTTACAGTTCAACTATAGGATTTCAATGCCTCTGTTTTTATACAAAATTGCCGAATGCGTATAAACAGAAATATTAAAATCTTAGATTCATCAGATCTCTCCTAGTCTTAGATCTCTTTCATAATGGCTTTAGTCCATCATACGACGCGGCTACCATAGCCTTTTCCGATGACATCGGTGCTATGCATGCTTTGCTTTCGTTTGTTGCCCGTGTGAAAAATTATCCATCTAATCCATATACAACTCCTTTACGTTACATGAGATAAACATTCTCTCATTAGCCATTCAATCTCAATCCATTCCTATATCAATTTCCCTACACAACTCCACCCCTACATTACTCCGCTCTACAATTATTATTAGAACTGCGCTCTTAAGCCTATGTCACACTACGGATTGGAATTGAGATTGAATTGGAATTTGACCAATCAGAAGAAAGAAAACCAATCCCAAGTTTACTGATCTTCGCTCTGATTGGCCAAATTCCAATCCAATCTCAATCCAAATCCGTAGTGTGACATAGGCTTTACACATTACTACGCTCCACAATTCTTATTGGAGCTGCGCTCCTAACCAGAAATTATGTGACATAGAATGGCGTATGGACTAGCATAAATGGTTCACTGAGCCACAACTGCACCAAACCAATCAACCTGTTTGTACCAATCGATATACTATAACCTAATCTAACCTATTATGATTTAAAGAAAGATTCAGAAAGTAATGTTAAAAAAGTATGTTAAAAAAAGTATGTTAATAAAAGTAGTTGGAGTTAGAGTTGAAGACATGTTAAATGAAGTATTTCCTTTATGACTTAAAGATAATATTAAAAAGCCTTTAGGTGAAACTGACGGCAAGTTAAACAAACCTCTCATCTATGATCTATGATTTAAAAGTTCTTAATTAGTTTTTTAATATTAGCAAAAATCTAGAAAGTGATGTAAGTATGAAAGCGTGATGAAATTAAAGACTACTTAAAGTTTTTAGTTTAACTTTGTTTACAATTAATGAAAGCAATATGTTTAGTCTGCGGTAGAGATGTGATAATCTTTGTTTTGCAAAAACAACACTTGTACAAACTTTTATTTACTCTTTATTTCTTACTTACTTTTTCCAAGATGTTAGTAATTTTCTTGTAAATGTAAATTATTTATGTTGCAAACAAGCGTACGAAAGCTTTATGTCATTTGTTTCAAACTACGCATTTTTTCAGAATGGGACGAAGTCGCACACCATCGCCGGGAAGACGAAGGGATCGATCCCGAGATCGAGATCGCGACAGAGATCGACGAAGACGACGGTCACGAGAAAGAAGACGAAGGTATATCTAAATATAATTGAAATTTATAAACGTAGCGCTATTATTATATATTAAATATGGTTTTGTAGATCTGTAGAGCGAGACAGAGTAAAATCAAGAGATAGAGAACGAGACAGAGAACGAGAACGCGAGAGAGATAGACATAGGAGATCATATACTAGATCTAAATCAAGAGAACGCGATAGATCGCGTGAGAGAGCAAATCATAAAGCCAAATCAAAACCTGCAAATGAACGACCTGTTATCACAGGTATCAAATAATTTTGTAGATGATCTATAAAAAGAAGAGAATGATTTATATAATATTAGAAAATTATAAAATATAATGTATACAATAATGGTCTCTCTTTCTGTTTTAATATTATAGAAGCTGATCTTCAAGGCAAGACACCAGAAGAACAAGAAATGATGAGAGTGATGGGATTTTGTGATTTCGATACGACTAAAGGTAAAAAAGTAGAGGGAAACGATGTAGGTGCAGTTCACGTCATTTTGAAAAGAAAGTACAGACAATACATGAACAGGAAGGGTGGCTTCAACAGGCCTTTGGATTTTGTTGCATAACTTCTCTTTAATACAAATTTAAGTGGCAGAAATTATTTTGTGAGATTGAACAAAAGTTTCTTCAATTTTTCAAAATATATATTTTATATTTCGATTTGTTCCATTTATTCATCTATATTAATTTTCAGTACAAATTAGTAAACTTTTGTATGACTTGTATGAAAAACTCGTATGATTTTAAGTGTAATAATAATAACTATATAATACTTATTTGATTAATGTGATAATTAAAATAACTTGTCGCGTATGTCACATATATAAAAAAAATAGAATATAACACAATATAACATATTTATATTTAATACAAAAGTGTTAAATTTTTATATTCCTTACTAGCAATTATATAAACTATCTTATAAGATATTTCAGCAAATGTAAAACCAATAAGAAAATTACAAATAAAACAAATTTTATCCTAAGTTTGTGAAAAATTTATAACGTACAAACATAAGGCTTATATAGATCTCTATAAATGTTTTTTTTTTTTTTTATACATATAGATCTTTATAAAATATTTTTATCATGTTTTCAAGATCTTCGAGATCGTTTCGAAGGCGGTGATTTCGTAGGAGAGTCCATAAATACATCACTTACTTTAGAGTGTTGCGACGATGATTTTGTAGGAGATTCCATAAGCACATCACTTACTTTAGACTTTTTTGAAGATGACTCTTTCACAGGAGAATCTACAGATGTATTTGCATCTATTTCTGAATTGGATACATCATTACTGCGACGAGACTTCTGTGTGTCCAACTGTTTGCAATATTGAAAAATTATAGAAAATAAAAAATGAAACCTTATATATAATTTTAATCTATATTCGTACCATGCTTATATCCATTTTTTCGAGTGCTTCAGCCAATTCTGTATTTTTTATACGAAAATCTCGCGTTATGCTATGTTTTATATATCTTTCAAGTGGAACCTAAATTTAAACATACAGTCGTCCTTGTTAATATGAATTCACCTCTTTTCTAGAACAGGATACTATTGTTTAACAGTGTTGTAACTTACGCCAGTTTTTTTATCAAGTGCTAACACTTCCTTATGAAATTGTTCGATTTCATATATCACAAGAGGTATAGTCTTGGTTTCCTTAAGAATCTTGTTCCTTTGTATATGCGAATCAGCTTTTGGCTTCGGAGTTTGGTTCTCCTGAATATAATATAAACGTACATATAGTTTTACAATTAAATAAAACAAATCTTTCATTTTACTCTACCTCAGTATGTGTTATCAAGTTATAAAATCCAGATCTTAATGGTTTTCCTGCCGATTGAATCACTTGAATAAATCTAAAATTACATTAAAATAAATATAATATAAATGTTCTAAAAACATCGAACAATATGTGTGTGTAAAATGCATAAAAGATTCCTATATGATATTTACTTGACTGATTGAAACGCCGGGTTTTGTTTACTCGATTTTCCATAAAAATATTTTGTAAGAGTGCTAAGTACATTGTATACTACTTGTAAATTTTTGAACATAGAATCTGTGGATGGTCCTGGTTTAATAGCGATGTTGGTTAAAATGCAAAGTATTTGTATAATGTGTGACAATTGTCTGCACAGACTGCGTTCTTGTGTTTTCAATTTTTCTTGATCTGCATAGAAAATCTTTTTATTATTATTGAAAAACAGTTAACGTTAAGTCAAAAAAAAAAAAAAAAATACGAGAGAATAAAACATTGAACGTACGTTCTTCGAGATCTGAACCAGGTAGGCAAGCTATATTTTGTTCAGCTTTAAGACGCATTAACAGCCAAGATACATTGTCCAACTTTTCTTTCACCCACGTGTTTACCAAATTATAAAGCTGCGCTGCTATATCTTCATGGATAATTTTGAATTTATTATTTTCCGACGCGTCAGCCTACACATTTTGCAAATACATATTTAACGAACACTTTTTATACTCTTACATAAAAAGTTAAATATTCTGTATGTACGTACTTTGTCGATGCTACCAAGTTTATCGCACAACGCGACAGAGATATCAATTAACAACTCTCCATATTCTTTGTTCCTCTCTTCTATCCATAACAAGATTTGAAAAATGGTTAAAGAAGCTTGTGGATCCATATTTTCCAATTGTGTAAACTTCATCATTGTATCAAATATCTTAATCAAATATAAATATTTTACTTAATATTTGATATTTCTTATATTCAATACTTATCAAAATTAAAAAAAAAAAATAGACTAATTACATCGGTAGTAAAGAATACTAACTTCATCTCCATTCATTTCGGAAAAATTGAATTCTTGCGTTAGCTGACGTATAATATCCAACAACACGCTAAGTATTTTTTTAGAATTTTCTTCGTGTTCATCCTTTTCACTAAAGAACGTTTTAAAACTCGCTCTTAAAGTAGCAGTTACACTCGCCAATTGTTCATTAAGACTTTTCGATTGAGATGCTCTAGTAGCTGTAGAAAAAATCATATATATTTAAGATATTACAATACATATAAGAAAATGAATATTTTTACTTAAAAAATATTTTAAGCACACTTACAAACAATAGCATCGAGAAACTGCGATAATTCCGACGGAAAATACGTGCACATTAGACAACACAATTCTTTGAAGCAATCCAACGCTAATATAGTGCCTTGCTCGTCAGTATCGAGAACGTTCTTTAAATTCAATACAACGTGATCGTACAATAATCTGCAATAGTAGAAAGAAAAAATAAGTTTTAGAAACTTTTTAATTTATAGAAACATAGATATTACACTTTAAAGAAGGAACATATAGACCTAGAAGGTTTTTCTACAAGACATCTGCAAAGTAAGATTTGTTTTTTATCCGTCCGGTTACATGTTCCTCTTTCCTTTCTCTTTTAATTATGTGAGTTTTTTACCTTCCAATTTCAAAATAAATTTTCATGTGTTGTTCTTTATGCTTCCGTAAATTGTATTCCGTTAAACCTTTAACATTCTGCAAGATCTGCAGCAGTGTTCGTAAAATATAATGATAAAATTCTTGGTATTCTACCAACATGGCTACTTGATCTGCAGTTGCCCAAGGAACGGATTTCCTATTATAATAGAATCACTTGATGAGTACACTTAATCGGTTTTAATCACACTTAATTACATAATTAAAAGATACTCACAAATAAAAAAGAGATAGACTTTTGCACACTGCAGACAGATCCATAATGCTAGGCGGTAATTTTATATTGCTTGGTCGGCCAGCTTTCTTTATAACCGTGTTATTCGTATCGTTTTGTGTTTTTTTACCTTTGCCTTTTCCCTTTTTAATCTTTGAAGCATCCTATGGAAATAAATATGTTTTATGTCCTAAACATATAGAGCATAATTTTTTTTTTTTTATTACCTTGATAACTTCAACCAATCTTGTATATCCTTTGAATAAACTTTTGATACTTTGAGCAGTATCTGAACAATTGACAGACCAGCCGCCGATTCTGAAGGACATAAGAGCTTCGTAAATTTTGATTGCTAATAGAACGTTCTGCACTTTTTCTTGAGTTTTGATGTTAGTATTGTTGACATCAAGTTTGTCATCCTATAGAGAAAAAATTTGAGAATCAAATAATTGTGGACAATATATTTCGAGTTTCTAATCTTTTTTTAAACATACCAGATTTAAATGTTCTACATCAAGTTGCGTCATCCGTCTGCAGAGACTTTCCAAGATCACAGCCAACTCGTCTACAAGGGACGATTTCATAAGAGCCGACTTGATATAAATCTTTTGCAGAATAGATATTAGCTCCGGTAGAGGTTCTTGCACTACAATTTCGTCTCCTTGCATAACTGTGCACAAGTCTAATTTAACTGGTATGACGATATTCTCGTCTGCCTCGAAATATATCTTAAAGTGAGGTAGCAACATGTCTAAGATGTATTCTGCTATCTCGACATTTTTTAACACGGCTTCATACAAACCTAGACGATCGTACATAAAATAGATGAAAAAATAATTCTTTTTTTAATTTAAAATAAACTGCACAACAATTTTATTAATTTTGCATACCATTGTATAAATGTAATCGAACTTCGCACTCGTGTGTGAAACATCTCTTTAAAATGCCCAGTATATCATAACACAAAGATTTATTGTATCCCGAAGTCGACGTTACTTGACTTCCTCTCTCTAATGTTACCTGCAAAACATACAGAATATAATTTTATAAAGCTGTAAGTTTCTTGACGTATGATGACACACAATTGATAAACCTGAGTCAAAATAGATGTGGTACTCGTGCAAGTTGATGACGAATGTTGCTGACTCGAGGTCATCGCGAGACCGCTCAAAGAATGTATCTTTAGATTTCTCAACATTTCCAAAATACCGCTAACTGCAACTTGTCGATTGAGCGTGCCCTTTCTGTACAGAGCTTTTCTCAATGTTAATATCACATGATTTCTTATATCGGCAGAAGCTTGTATCAATGGAAATATCGCAGAAACTATAAAAATAGCGCCTTCTCCGGGTATAAACGAGATTTGTTCGAAAAGAGTCATTACGGAATTCTGATGGTCCAATACAAGAATCGTTAATTTACGACACATGTACGTTAAGCAGTCTGCAAATAAAATGTAGCAATTGTTGCTAATCCAAAAACTGTGAATAATCACATGCGAAATAAATATCAATCACATATTTATGATACAATATAATAATATAGAGATTAAAAGTCTAATATAAAAAGGGCTATTTAAAAAAAACTTACTAGTATATTGAGAGATACACGATCCACCTGCGATTATTTTATCAATTAAAGTTTGAAATATAGTTGGAACCGTTTCATGATGTTTTCTCATAATTTTCTGAAGTATTTTCAAACCTATCTGCCACAAAGGATGTAAACCTGTCTTTGATTTATTCTCTACAGCCATAAGAACAAACGCGAGATCTACCAATCCTTTCAGCACTAAATGACGATCTGTATTACTATTGTTAAAAAGTTAAGTGGTGGTAAATACACATAGTATTTTTTGTTTTATACATTATGTTTATAGTTAAAATATAAAGTAAAAAAATACAAATATATATTAACAATTATTTATAATCAATAGACGTGTGTTGCAGATTTACCTCGTATTAATAACGTTTCCTATTATAGTCATTATATTACAAGACTCAAGGATTAGTTTTCTCAACCATGCACTGTTCTTTCTTTTGTCATCAATTTCGTTCTGTTTGCTGATGACTGTTCGGAGCATTTCAAAAATCTATAATACAAATACGATAATTATTAAAGCAGTATTTTAAATTTGTAAGTTGTAATGTATTAATTACATCACCTGTTCTTCATCAATAGAAGCAACTGTGAGCAATACAGAAAGCATAAAAGGTTCCAAAATAACTTCAGGAACCTGAGAAACATTTTTAAAATATTTAATGTAGTCTTTTATTAGTTGATGATTCAACTGGGCAGCTTGATATATGTGGTATAATATTGTACTTTCAATATTTTGTACTTCCTTGGGATTTATTATATCTGTGATTGGATGAACATTAAGGTTGAAATTTTCAGACTTTGCGTATAGACTTTAAAATATTATTTGAATTGTATTTTCTTACCTATTGTTTCAAAAGTATCAGAGTCAGAATTAGCTTGTGAATATCGAATTGTAAAATATCTGCGTAATGCTTCTAAAAGAAGTTTACTTTCTTGATTAGAACATAATCTCAATGATTGATGTACAAATGGAGGTAGTTCTTCAAGAGGCATATTCTGCAGTTTTGCACAGAATACTGTGATTACTGTAGCATGATCATCTTTTTCTAAAGATATATCTCTACAAAGAATCATTATAAGATGATAACTCTGTATTTTTTTTATTAAAATCTACACAAGATTATTTACCTAAACATTCTTGCTAATGAAGGCATAATTTCAGTGTCCCACTCACTGTTACAAATGTTGTTAACAATGATAGACTTATATTTAGGCCCAGAAACTTCACCGTTCATATGATTTATATATTTTTCTTCTTCCAATACTTCTAACAAAACAGGAAGTAGATCTTTCCAGCTGAAATATATTCAACAAACTCAATAAATCACATAAGAAGTGATTGTGTTAAAGATAAAAATTAATCTTTCTTTACATACCTCCTAAATTCATCATCATTGTTGCATATATTGGCAATGGAAAAATCTACTAATTTAACTAAGTGCACTTTTGGATAATTAGGAAAGTCTACAACTATTCGATTTACAATATCATTTGCATAACTGATGGTAACTTTGGATTTGGCTAATGTTTTCAAGGTAGATTCCACTAACTTCAATCTCTTTGCATATAGTTTTTCAGATTCTGAGCATATTTGCAATATCTCATCCAATATTTTAAAACCATCTGGATCGGAAATTCGATTGGATACTATTTTTACAAGCTAAAAAAAATTATTTAATTTATTAACAATTGTCTTACTTTTATGTCATATTCCCATAAATACAATATATTACTTACTTCGTCAGTTGATGCTTCCTGCACAAATTTCATCAGCTGCTTCTTATCATTCTGATTTAACACATCATTAAGTTCTGCGCTCATTTTTGAATTAACAATGCAATATATTCTATTTGTTTAATGATTAACTTTTATCGAAAACAACACGTGCATTTGACTGGTCCACTGTTTATATCTTCACTCTCTTTTGATCTTTGACCAATATTTCCCGCTTTTGCCACAGCAGGACCTTAACGCCTGTTTTCACCATCTCCGATTAACTTAATCGGCCGATTATTCCATTGGAATTGCCAATTCGCATGAATCGTTTAGCAGACTAGACCAATCACGACTGATACTTAATCGCCGATTAAGTTAATCGGAGATGGTGAAAACGGGTGTAATTCTTGAAAAACTTTCGTATACCAGAGAGAAACCTGAGAGCGGCCATCCTATTGTAATTTTTTACGACGGTTTCAGCCGCTGGTTTTAGCCGTATTTCCACAAAAGTGGAACTCAAAGGCCGTTCTACATTAAACGCAAGTGGCAGATCTCGTGGAACTGATCAATCACGTTGGTCGATTGGCTGATTTGACTCTGCAATTGGTCAATTCCACGAGATCTGTGACTTGCGTTTAATGTAGAACGGCCTTTGAGTTCCACTTTTGTGGAAATACGGCTAAAACCAGCGGCTGAAACCGTCGTAAAAAATTACATTTGGATGGCCGCTCTCAGGTTTCTCTCTGATCACAACTAGGATTTCTGTCTTTGTTTCGTCGTCGCTGATTGGTTGAAATTTATACGAGTACAGTCCAAGACAAAAAAACAACGAAAAGTAAAGAATGACTGCGTTCAGCAGAAATCAGCGCTCAGCAATTGCTGAGTGACTGAATGATTATCTTATCTAGATAATATTAATGCTGAGTGACTGAATGACTTAACACAGGTAAAAGTATCTAGGGCTGTGTTCCAAATTTACTGCCAGCACGCTAACCAGTGCTAGAATTGTATAATACATGTGATTTAAACTATAGATCTTTAGCGCTGGCAGTGAATTTTGAAACACACCCTAGATAAGATACTTTTATCTTATCTAGAGCACGGCGCTCGTTGGCGCCTTAGACCATATATACTTATAGACACGGCCTGTAGATATGAATCCACGAGTCGAGGTGAAGCAAAGATAATATCATCTACGTGACGTCACATGTGGGCATTTCAGCAATGGCTAAACGCGGCCTCGTAGATGATATTATCTTATCTTCAAGGCGGTTATCTGAAGCCGTCTATAAACGCGCCTTTGCTTTGCCCACATGTGACGTCATGTAGATGATATTATCTTTGCTTCAAGATAGTTGTCTGAAGCCGTGTCTATAAGTATATATGGTCTAAGGTTGGCGCTACGAGCAACCATAGACGTATAATATATAGACTGCGCGTTTGGCTGAAAAGATGTCTTCAACGTTGAGAGAGACAACATACTTTGAATAGTAACTCTTTCTCTGTCTATCATTTTCCCCACTACTTCGCTAGACAAAGATGAGGCTACTATTCAACACCAGCTGTCTCTCTCTCCATGTTGAAGACATTTTCTTAACATGGCAAAGGTAGGGAACGCGCAGTCTACATATTATACGTCTATGCGAGCAACCGCCCCGCTTGCCCCCCGATCCCCACGCCTATTCCGCGATTCATTGACGCGTTGTGTACGCAAAGTGTTTGTCTAACACCTGTCAGTTTTTGACAGAGTCTGCTATCAGTGTTAGTTGCTTCTGAAACTAATGTACATATGTATTTTAGCTGATATTTATATATTTGTTTGACAGATTATGTACGTGCAAGTTTCTTTGTTCGAGCACTAAACGGATTTCTAACGTTTCGACGTCGTGAAAAATTCTATAGAAGCTGCATTCCATTTGATCGCAACGCTTGTGAGCGTTTTTTTTTTTATCTCTGTTTACCTTTCGACGAAAAACAAGGATAAAATAATTCCATGAGCGTTGCGACTGCCAAGTTGAACGCAGCGAAAGGTGACCTATCTATGTTCTACTTTTTTGTCTCGAACAGTTCGCATTCCTTTCTGAAGGGGGAAGCACCGAAAGACATACTGACGCCGTCACGCGGCCGGTATCTCTTTCTTCACGCACGTTCGTGGTTTATCTCATCGCGTGCAAGACCGGTATAGCGCGGGTGGTAATTTTTCTATTTTCTCGATCTTCCCGCCTGTCGTTACACTGCGAGAGTGTATAAACAATGGCAGATCAACAAGAGAACAAGGATTTCAGTGAAGACGTAGCGGAGCAAAATTTTGAGAAAAATGGCGAGGCCGAAAGCGCGGGTACCGGCGGTGGTGGCGGCGGCGACGCCGTAGAGAATGGCCAGGATTCGCAGGAAGACAGGTACGATTTCTCTCTTTCGTTTTTCTCTTGTAAAATCCCCGATAACGATGCCGTTAAACGGTTAAATCGTTTCCCGCGCACGTTTTTTGGGCCTAACAACGCAATTGCGACTCGAGCGAAGTCACATTTTGTAACGACGTTTCCCGCGAATTCGCTCGGCGTCCCCTTCGGCGGGCTCTTTGCCTTTGACACGGGTCGAACAAAATGGCGAAGATCGAGCGAAACGTAATCCGTTCACATCGGGTACGCACTAGCTGCAAATTGCCTTCTCGCGCGATTATTCGATCTTTAGTCAGCCGCAGCGAACTCACCGTGCATTTCTTTTTTGTCTCCAGATCTGGTATTTGTTATTATGTCGCATCGTGCGAGACGAGTTTTTTTTTTTGCGATGTTTTTCCCCGAAAAAAGATTTGTCTGCGTCGTGTGTACTCTGCGATTTTTTTCAGCTCTTACAATAAAGTTTTCGGCTATTTTTCGTGTAAACATTGTTTCATTATTTTCCTTTACTTTCAAATTCGGAGTACACGATGCCGAACAAATCTAATGTCACTTTACAGCTATTCCCAGTAACGTACAAGAGATATACTCTATAACCGAGTTATATTTTTTTATACAGTATATATATATATATATACATATATGAGCTAATAAAACTGTGAAATTATTAAACAATTTATTCAGTCTATATAACGTACTTCAGTAAATCTGTTCGAAATATTTAATATTTTTATACATAAAAATGAAATAAGGTAACTATATATAACATACTTTTTATATATTTATACTATTATATACATATATAAGGATATGTATGTTCTACAATTGTAAAGTATGTACCTTACCTGTCTCAAGCTTCTTAACTTTTTTTGTAAATTTCTTTCTGTTCTTTACTTAGCCAATTAACTCTTTTCTAGTTGTATAATTATTGGAGGGCAGTCACAATTTCATCATTGATAAAGTTTGTATGTATATGTAGATCTATATATAACTATATATATGTTCAATAAGAATAACATTTGTATTGTATTTTTTTTGTAGAATATAATTTTAAAAAAATCCATATTTATTGTGACATTGATCAGTTGCAAGAAAGTTATCCTTATTCACAGTATAGTTTACAGTCAAATTCTGATTAGCCAATTGCTCAAAACGATTGACAAATGCACCCAATGCTTGTCTGGGATCTCTGAATTGAACTACGAAGCCTTGTGAACTTTGGGGTCAGAATTATTGTGAGCAATCGAACATCGAGTTCTCAAGTCCATCATGTTGCGTCACAACACGAAAGTGCTGGAGTCAAGTCGAGTCAAATGTTACTTGAGATCAAATATGTGTCGCAGCGACACATACTTGCCTGCTGGATAATACAGAGTAGAGTAATTTCCGGTGATTCAAATGTGATTTGGATTATTTGGGCATGAACAAATGCACAGAGACACTAGGGCCCATGCAAATATCTTCGATAGGCTCCTGAACGCCATTAACACAGTTTCTGTGACTTGGTCTGCAGGTGGCAAACGTCCCAGTGCGATTATGGCGGGCTGCTTACAACTGGCTTACTGTGACCTGACCTGACTACAGATACCGGCGAGTGACTGGTACCCATGGTATTTATCATCGTATTAGATGATACGACAAAATATATTGATAATATAAGTACAGACTAAACACAAACCGCCGGAAAAAGTTAAGGGAAAAATAGAAAAACAGCAAAATGTATATATATTGCAGCTTCTTATTCAAATGCAAAAATGTACGAAAATGTATCTCAAGACTCGAGAGTCATGTGTAATGTAAGCCTTCTTGATGAACGTGAGAATTGTAAGATAAAAGATCTATGTATGTATGCATATATACAAATGTCTGATGTAATGCAGAACGTTGTTTAGAAAGAAATCGAATAAAAAAAAATAAAAAAAATAAAAAAAAAAGAATGAGAAATAATAACAGAGCAAAATCAGTGCAGTGACCGATATTAATCTGTTGTAACATGGAAATTAATTTTTTTAGCTTTCCAATATAGAGTTGCAGTCAATCTACCACGTGCCACTAATTTGGGCCAATTAATAATCGGGATATATTTGTGACCTTAGAGAAATTATTTATATTTTCTTTAGGGGCAGCTGTATATCAACTGGAGTTGTAGCTTATTTGGATCATCGTTGTAACAGTATTTTGCTCTCTTTGAAGCGTTTATTTCTATTACACTACACACACATACACACAAACATATTTATATGTACTTTTTTTCTAAAACTTTCCTTTAATAATTTTTCACAAAACTTTTATGCTGTTCAAATCGAGTTACCTGTGTGATGCGCAAAACTGCCGTCTCTCCGTAACTTCAATTACACTACGCTCTTGCGTAGCACAACTGTGTGTGTAATTTTATATAATAACGTACGTTTTTTTTTCTTTTTTTTTTCTTTTTTTAATTTTTATCAGAGTTCACATTTGTTCTAGGGATATGGTATTTTATAACTTTTTATATCGCTTTACTGTCAGAATAACTATATTTAGTCTCATGCAAAAGGAACAGGTTTATTTTTCCAAATCTATATGTGGGAGTGACAAAACATCTACATTGTGATTGATGCTGCACTTGGAATTTTTATTTTCTGCTGCAATTTATATATTTTTTTAAAATAAATCATTTAATTGTAATAGTGCTTTTATAAATATATCGAAAGTTTTTGCAGTGCTTTTTGCAGAAAGCATCGTGGATCATCAATTGCTTTGTTAAGTAGATTTTGATTTGCACAGAGAAGAATGATAATATTATAAGTTCTTTAAAATCACAAAAGCAATTAACTTGATAATTAATACTACAATATTTTAGAAAAATCTCTGTTCTTTCTTTGGTAAAATAAATTAGTTCCATTGCTTTGCAGGTTGACCGGAAGTAATCAGGACTCTATATGATTAACAGGCACATTCAATTTCCATTTCTATCTTTCTTTTATTTTAACATTGTGTGCCTGCAAAATTTCAATAAAATTAGTAATACCACAATCGCGTAGCACCGCACTAGCGGCTGAAAAGTTAGGGCAATAAGCGTTGCTCTCTATTATACTTATTTTATAACTATTTTTGTTTATTGTTTACAGAAAATTATTTGTCGGAGGACTCAGTTGGGAAACTACAGACAGTAAGCAATTTGATTCCTAACTTTGATTTCCGATTATTAAAGTTGTATTTCATATAATCCATACCAGAAATCCATATAGGCATTATTTTTATCTCTACTTTTTCTTTATTTCAGAGGAACTAAGAGAACATTTCAGCACATATGGCGACATTGAAAGTATTAATGTCAAAACTGATCCTAATACGGGAAGATCGAGAGGATTTGCTTTTATCGTGTTTGCTAAAGCGGAAGCACTTGATAAAGTAATTCATAATTCGTTCTAATGACTAATCTAAAACAAAAAATCTACTAATTTAAAACTAATCTAAAACAAAATTACTATTATTAATGTAACAAAATACTATTACTAATGTAACAAAATCACTAGTACTAATGTAAAACAAAATTTTTTGTGTTTTAAATAGACATATAAATGTCACGTGTATGCTATTATCTGTTTATTGTAGATTATGTCAGCTGGAGATCACATCATTAACAATAAAAAAGTCGATCCGAAGAAGGCGAAAGCTAGACATGGTAAGATTTTTGTTGGTGGTCTGTCTACAGAACTTTCAGACGACGACATCAAAAATTTCTTCTCACAGTTCGGAAATGTAAATATTTTTAAAATATATATACTTAGAAATATATACAACACACATAAACAAAAAATTAATTATCGTGCAATGTTTTTCTAGATTGTCGAAGTGGAGATGCCATTTGATAAGACAAAGAATCAACGAAAAGGTTTCTGCTTTATTACATTTGAATCTGAACAAGTGGTTAATGAGTTACTGAAGACGCCAAAACAGACAATTAATGGAAAAGCAGTAATTTAATTAAACCTTTCATGAAAACCTCTTTCAATAATTTAATTAAATCTTTCATCTACTAATAAAAATAATTGCTAAATTTTTAATATATTTTAATGCATAATTGACCGCTTTAAGAAGATAAATATAATTTGTTGATTTTCTTTCTGTCGAACAGGTTGATGTGAAAAAGGCGACACCAAAATTGGATGGCATGGGCGGAATGCGTGGAGGCATGATGGGGAGAGGAAGAGGTGCTCGAGGCGGCCGAGGTCGCGGATTTGGTGGTCAAGGTGGTTGGGGACAAGGATACGGGGGCGGTTATGGCGGCGGTTATGGCCAAGGTGGATATGGCGGCGGTTATGACGGTTACGGAGGATATGATTACTACGGCGGCGGTTATGGTGGATACGGTGGTTACGATTACAGTGGATATGGAGGTGATTATCTTTGGTCACGGTAACATATACGTACAAATTAAATTCGAACAAAAATAAGGGAGAGGTACTTTTATGTAAGGTCATAAAACTGTTAGTATCCTGACAAGTATCTTTGGAGTATTCTTGATTAGTTTTCTCGAAATAAAATTTTTATTGATCCAACTCGGGTTTTCATTTGCGGTGGTACTTCATTCTTTATTTCTTTTTTGTCTTATATTTGAATTGAAATTTCAATGATACGTGCGGGTGCTGACTCCATTGTACCATGTGTTTCATGAAACGCAGATGGCTATGGCTATGGCGGTGGTAATTACGAAGGTGGCTACGCAGGCGGGCGTGGTGGTGTACGCGGTAAAGGTACGCATTACAGCGTTCCTTGATATACTTTATTACTTATTTTATTTTGTTTTCTCTCTTTCTATCTAGTATGTCTAGTATATCTAGTCTAGTTTTTAACGCTTTGCCGCCGCTAGAATTGCATCCATCCTTTATAACTCCTTTTTTAACCGTACAATAGACGCAATTTATTCTTTTGACTTCTAGTCAAGATAAATTTAATAAATATAACATACTTTAACCTGTAAATATCAATAAAAATAATTGTAAAAACGTTAAAGTATTGCTTTAAAAAGAAATTTTGATTTAATGGTTCATATTTTTGTGTGTGTCGTCCTTATAAATTCATGTTTGTTTATTAGAGTAACACAAAAGAGATATACTAGACTCTCAGAGAGAGATGCTTATCGAAAGAAAGAACACGAATTTAAATAGTGTGCAGCTTACTACCTTAGCCTGTAGCCTCTTTGTTCTTACATTTATGTATATCTGTGTAGCAGTATCTTTTTTCGTAGTATTTTGTTATATTTTAGCAGCGTATGTCAGTTCATTGAAATGTACATTATATCACACAATCGATTCATGTGTGTATTATGTGTTATTTATTTGCATATACAGGATGTCCGACAATTACTTTAACAGCTCTCGTAGGCAGACTTCAAGTTCAAGACTTTTCGACTCAGTTTTACTCCTTCTATCTGCCTACGAGAGCTGTTAAAGTAATTGTTAGACACTCTGTAAATACATATATATATATGTGTATATGTATATACATTTATATGTAAATATATATGTATATATATGCACATGTAATATTATACTATATAAGTGTAGTATGTAAATGTAGTAGATAATTTTTTTGTACAGTTATGTTAGACGAAAAGAAAACTAATAAGATATCGGTATTGTTTCAGGAGGTTCGGGCTACGGAAAGCAAAGAGGTGGAGGACGTCAAAATCAAAGGCATCAACCGTATTAACGAAAATTCCCATCCGCGATCGCAGTGCAATTCGCGCCGTAATCTGGTACACTATTATTTCTAAATTGTATATTTTGCGTTTATTTTTTAATGCGTTTGATAATCAATTTTTCGCGATTTTTCTTGAGCTGAAATATTATCACTTTTCATTGTATTTTTTCTTATTTCATAAATATATTAACATTGTGACCTTTATTTTTATTTTGTGAGAAAGCCTGATATGGTGGTTTATTTTGTTTTCTGTTTATTTCGCGTATTTCATGACTTGACTGATATATTTTGAAGTATAATTTATATTTACAAAATTATAGTCTACTTTTTTTTGTAGATATTCTTCCTCACTACCGATCTCTTCATTCGTCCAGTCATCATTCCATTAAGCCACGCCTCTCCTAGCAAGAATTTCGACAATTTTTGGACAATGTGATCAACTGCTGCTACCAAATCAATCACGAAAAGCTACGATGGAAACAGCAGTACAATTTCGTTTTATATTTAACTCCGATTTATTATTCCGTGTCTATATGCTTTCCTTTCTGCCGTTTGCAGTACGAATTCGTGTCATTTATCTCCTTTTTAACAGTGTGTTTGCGGTAGAAAAGCAAGCATATAAAATTGCCACTTAGATTCCGATTGTAATACAGAGCAAAACGTGAAGTATCCAACAGTATCAGTCTTACAAGAAATGTTGCCGTACGATAAAGTGAAATAAGGATAGTTGTATAAAATAAAATGTAAGCACGTGTATGTGCCCGATTAGAAAAAGATCTGTGTCGTGTTTTTTTTTGTTTTTTAAGAGTCACACGCACGTATCTAATCCTCTTTTGTAATTTTCGATATCTGAGTGTAATTGAAGATACAAGATTTTATTGATAAACTTTTTTTTTTGTAATTTTTCATACTTGTTTTAAATTCTTTTCACTTTACGTATTGGTTTATATTTAGATTTTAAAAACGTTTGACTGCATTCAGCAGAATAAAATCTTAAATTTGACGGTTTGATTAAAAAACTGGCAGCTCTTCGTTATTTTGTCATTTTCTTTGTCTGGCCATTATCATATAAATCTTCAACTATATCTGCTATATTCGATATTCATCACTCATTAACTCTTATCAAGGTGTGTACACACAAAAAACACTTCTACCGTACATATTTAAAATTTAATCGAACTTTTCAATCTCATTTAAGTACACTCGCGTTGGTCGTTAAATGTGGGATTGGTTGATTTGATAAAAAAATCTCTAGGTTTTTTCAAAAAGTCCCTAAAGATTTGAGAAGTTCACTATTAGTCGACCAATCACGCACGACATTGCGATTCGTGCGTACGAAAAGCACGACGAGAAGGTTGGCACTCCCGCTCCCGGCGGCAGCAAGCCGAGTAGCGCGAAGCGAGTAGCGGAACGCGGAGCACCGGAGGAACGTGTGTCGTTTATGTATATACATATATACAGTGTGATATACTACTTTCTTCTGTGTAACGTGATGATCATTGTGACGAGCGAGTAAACGATCAACGGAAATCCAGTGGGACGACCGTTCGGTGCGTCTGTGATATGCAAATAAGTTGTGTTCACGGCTCCGCGAATGGACGTCTCGCGGTTCTGAAGGCAACCGACGCTACGCAACGGAGCAACGTATTCACATATCGTCGAGACGCAGTCATTGAAGGTACGGAACATTAGCAGGGCGATCGCATTTTTTTCCAAGCGAGACAATTATGCCGCTTTTGCCCGCGGCCAGCGAGATACCATTGCTAATAACGACGATAGGACAGATGTTCCCATCTCGAACGGCGTCGTCGTCCTCTCGAAATCGCGCCACTTAAATAATGGCCTTTTCCCGCCATATTTTTCAAAACTCCCTCCAATGTGGACGCTCGCCTCTTCGGTAACAGATTTTATTCTTACGAGAAAAGACGTTTCGAGTGTTTGTATATCAAAATTGAATCATTAGCGTTTAGTTTTTTAAACACATCTCTATCGAGTCGAAGTATCAGATGCAATTAGTACTGACATCAGAAAAATTAATAGTATTCAAAAATTGCCTCTCGAATAAAATTGTAATTTAAAGTATATTGTAAATATATATATATATATTAGAGCTAAAATGTGTGTACATTTTCTTTGATCTCATAGATATCTGAAAGCATATAGTAGCAAAATGAATACTGTGGAAAATGGAGCTGGCGACAGCAGGCCAGCTTCCAAGCAGAAAACCATTGAGGGTATCTACCAAAAGAAATCACAGTTGGAACATATTTTATTACGTCCAGATACCTATATTGGATCTTTGGAACCTATGACAGAAATGATGTGGATATATGACAAGGAAAAAGAAATGATGGTTCAGAAAGAAATAAAATATGTTCCTGGATTGTACAAAATTTTTGATGAGATTGTAGTGAATGCTGCTGATAACAAGCAGCGAGATCCTAAGATGGATGTAATTAAGATTGATATTGATTCGTAAGTTATTAAGAGCAATTCAGTTTATAGAATTCTTATAACTATTGACAAAAAATGTCTTAGTAAATATTTTTTTATTTTGTAATTAATAAACAGAGAGCATAATACTATCTCGGTATGGAACAATGGAAAAGGCATCCCTGTAGTAATACACAAAGAGGAGAACATGTATGTTCCCACTATGATATTCGGTCATCTCTTAACATCGTCAAATTATGATGATGAAGAGGAAAAAGTAACTGGTGGCAGAAATGGTTATGGTGCCAAGCTGTGTAATATTTTTAGTCATCGTTTTACTGTTGAGACTGCAACAAAAGAATATAAAAAATGTCTCAAGCAAGTAAGTACAATTGTGCTTATCCATTTTATTTTATGTATTTGTATCTGTGTATTGTAATTTCAATTTATTTTTTTTATAGACATGGGGTGATAATATGGGAAAAGCTAGTGAGCCTAGAATTAAGGAATATTATGGAGACGATTTCACAAAAGTCACTTTTTCACCAGATTTATCTAAGTTTAAGATGCAATCTCTCGACAATGATATTGTATCTTTAATGTCTCGAAGAGCGTACGATATAGCTGCTTCCACAAAAGGTGTCAAAGTTTTTTTGAATGGAAGTCGTATTCCGATAAAATCTTTTAAAGATTACGTTGATTTATATATTAAGGGAAAAGAGGATGACGTTGGTAATCCATTAAAAGTTGTACATGAGAATTGTGGTCCACGCTGGGAATTGGCTGTTACATTATCAGACAAAGGATTTCAGCAAATGTCATTTGTAAATAGCATCGCAACAACAAAGGTAAAGCAAGCAGTATTACGTGTAATATTTTTACCAAGCAGAAGATTACTTCAAGTATTTAAAATAATTAAATGTTATTAGGGTGGTAGACACGTTGATCATGTAACAGAATCAATAGTCAAACAATTGACTGAAACATTGAAGAAAAAGAATAAGGCTGGTGTGGCCATTAAACCGTTTCAAATTAAGAATCACTTGTGGATCTTCATCAATTGTCTGATCAATAATCCGACGTTTGACTCACAGACTAAGGAGAACATGACTTTGCAAGTAAAAAGCTTTGGCTCCAAATGCGTATTACCCGAAAAGTTTATTGCTAATGTAAGTATTTTTATGTCGAATATATTGTCGGTTTTTTTTTTATTGCAAAAAAAGTATATTATATAAAATGCAATTGTAGGTCACAAAAATCGGCATCGTCGAAGCAGTGCTATCCTGGGCAAAATTCAAAGCTGATATTCAGCTTGAAAAACTGGGTCCTAAGTCAAAACAAAGGAAGCTGCACGGTATACCGAAGTTGGAAGACGCTAATGATGCAGGAACGGCAAAATCATTAGAATGTACACTTATATTAACTGAGGGTGACTCAGCCAAAGCAATGGCTGTGTCCGGCATTGCCTCTATAGGAAGAGATAAATATGGCATATTTCCATTGAGAGGTAAACGTTTTGGTTTTGCTGGAAAATATTTATTTAAGTCTCATTGTTTTAGTTGAATTCTATATTTCGTTACAGGTAAAATGTTAAATGTGAGAGAAGCCACCCATAAACAAATTTTGGAGAACGCTGAAATCAATAACTTGATAAAAATCCTTGGTTTACAATACAAGAAAAAATATGAAACTCGCGACGATCTAAAGACTTTGCGCTATGGAAAAATGATGATCATGACTGATCAGGATCAGGTAAAATCTCGTATAAAAAAACGACTATACATACATTTATTTATTTGCGTGAATGTTTATGATTCTAAACTAATACAAATTTAAAACAAATTATTTACAATTAAATTTTTTACGATTAAAATATGTGAAAATTTTATTACTTAGGACGGTTCACATATCAAAGGTCTCTTGATCAATTTTATCCACCATAACTGGCCGTCATTGTTGAAGCTGAATTTTATCGAAGAATTTATTACACCTATCGTGAAAGCCACAAAGGGCAATCAGGTTTTATCTTTCTTTTCTTTACCTGAATTCGAGGCGTGGAAAAAGGATACGGAGAATTTTCATACATACAAAATCAAATACTACAAAGGTGTTTACTAAAACATTTACGAAACTTGTAATATTAACTATTATTTTACGATATAAAGAATCCATGTAAAACAAAGTGTCCTTGAATCTGTACAGGTTTGGGTACTTCTACCGCCAAAGAGGCGAAAGAGTACTTTGAGAACATGGCCAGACATAGAATACGTTTTCGATACGAAGGCGAGCAAGACGATCAAAATATTGTAATGGCGTTTAGCAAGAAGTGCGTAGATCAGCGTAAGGAGTGGCTAATGAATCACATGAACGAAACTAAAAGAAGAAAGGACATCGGTCTTGGCGAGCGCTTTCTCTACGAAAAGGACACGCGCGCCGTCTCTTTCTCAGACTTCATCAATGTCGAGCTGGTATTGTTCAGTAACTATGACAACGTGAGGTCTATCCCGAGTATGATCGACGGCTTCAAACCGGGTCAGAGAAAAGTGTTATTTACTTGTTTAAAACGCAATGACAAACGCGAGGTGAAAGTCGCGCAATTAGCGGGATCGGTCGCCGAACATTCCGCTTATCATCACGGCGAAACATCTTTGATGGCAACCATAATCAATCTCGCGCAAAACTTCGTAGGCAGCAACAACATCAATCTGCTCCAACCAATCGGTCAATTCGGTACAAGACTTGCTGGAGGAAAAGATGCTGCTAGTCCGAGATACATTTTCACAATGCTTAGGTATTTGTCATCATGTAATACAGATTAAGAAATTGCATGCTTGTCTATAAACTTTTTTTCTTATTTTTTTTTTGTTTTATTTTTAAAGCCCATTGGCAAGGTACATATTTCACAAACACGACGATGCTTTACTGAAACACGAATATGACGACAATCAAAAGGTCGAGCCTGTCTTTTACATACCTGTAATTCCCATGGTATTGGTAAATGGCGCTGACGGTATTGGCACCGGATGGATGACAAAAATACCGAACTACAATCCACGAGAAATTATTGAGAATCTACAGAGAATGATGGACGGAGCAGATCCAAAACCGATGGTATACAATTCTGATATATTGTAAATTATCGAATAAAAGAGTTGAGAGATGTGATTTTTCTATAGGTTTTTCTATTTAACAAAATATGGTGCCGTTAGATCACAAAAAAGTATCAAAAGATACACTTATCATCAATTTGAAATTCTGCCACATAATCAATTTGTTTACTTTAGAAACCCCACTACAAAAATTTCAAAGGCGTTGTAGAAAGCTGTGGGGATTATCGTTATGTTATAAGCGGAGAAATATCCGTAATCGGGCCTGACAAAATTGAAATCACCGAACTTCCTATTGGTATGTGGACACAAACTTACAAGGAAACTGTACTGGAACCCATGTTACATGGAACTGACAAAACCCCAGCTGTCATTACGTAAGTATTACGATTTGTTGAAAGTTTTCACTTTTTTTTTCTTTGTTTTTTTTTTTAATGTTATTTTTATCGCAGGGATTATAAGGAGTACAACACCGATACATCGGTGCACTTTATAGTAATAATGAATCGTGACAAATTAGTCGAGCTAGAAAGGGACGGTCTTCACAAAGCATTTAAACTCCAGACAACAACAACAATAACATCTATGGTAAGATATTCACACACACAGCGATATTCCTAATCGGATCATATAACATCGTCCTTAAAATAAAATTGTAACCGTGTTATAAAACTATTTATTTTGTAAGAAATGATACGAATATCGCTCATATTCTTTGTAAGTAAAATTTAGAAATTTAACAATATCACTTCTTGCAGTGCGCATTTGATGAAAATCTGTGTTTAAACAAGTACGACAGCGTAGTGCAGATAATGAAAGGATTCTACAAAGTTCGACTAGAGATGTATCATAAGAGGAAAGACTATTTAGAAGGAATTTTGCAAGCGGAGGCGGCCAAACTATCGAATCAAGCGCGTTTTATTCTCGAGAAATGCGATGGAACTCTAGTGATAGAAAACAAGAAGAAGAAGGACATGATAGCAGAATTAGTTAGACGTAATTACGAATCAGATCCGGTGACGGCTTGGAAACTGTCGCAGAACAGGGAACAAGCCTTGGTAAGTAAGAGCGTTTGATACAGCTTTTACTCAGAAATTGTCTATATGTTCTCTGTATGTAAAAGAATCAGTCACTTACTAGTATTGATTTATTTTGCTACATCAGGAGGATCAAGTAAGTTAATGTAGAAAAAAAAAAACAGTATGTAAAACTTCCAATGTAGACGTCCTAACTCTAAAAAGCAGTGGTTTTCAAATTCTTTTGATTCGCGGCGCACTATTGCGTACAAAAAGAAACAATAAAAAATATATTGATACGTATTAAACTGCACGAATATATGCATACAAATAATTCAGTAATAAATCTCTATCAGTGTATTTTCTGCGGCACACCATTTGAGAGTCACTGCTTCGAAGATTTCTTGACGAATACAATCATTTTCCAAAATATGTTTGTTTGACACAAAAGCTTAGAAAGATAACTTTATTTAAACATTTAAGCTTTTATGGATTATGGTTGTTTTTGTCTAAAGATCTTGTCTATCACGTTAAATACGTGTAATTTTAATTATGTGTATTATGAAAATAAATATAGGAAGAAGCTGCAGACGTGGATGAAGAAAACACCCCAACCGCGACCGCTATGGAAAAAGAGAATTTTGATTATCTTCTAGGAATGACAATGTGGAGTTTGACGAAGGAAAAGAAAGATGATTTGTTGCGACAACGAGATGAGAAGATGGCGGAGCTAAAGAGACTGCAAGTTCGTACGCCGGTTTCTTTGTGGAAAGAAGATTTGGAAAATTTGCTAAGTGAATTAAACAAGGTGAGCCAATTTTCTTTTTTTCTTTTTTTTTTTTAAGAAACTCTTGCTTTAATTTTTCTTATTGTTATATTGTTGCTTTTATTGTTTTATTTTTTCTTATTGTTATATTATTTCTGTGTGCAGGTTGAGGAAAAAGAACGAAAAGAAGACAGCAAACGAACCGACAAAAAACCACCCTCGAGGTTCTACAAAATGGAGGACACTCGTCGTATTCTTCCTGTCATCGATGGCGAACTAAAGAAAAAAATCGAAAAAGCAAATATTGTAACAAAAGATAGGAAAGAAGGCATAAAGAAAACAAAGGTAAAACTCTTATTATTATTTGATTGATTCATCTTTTATTTATGCAATAAAATATATTATTATATAAATTTCCGTATTAGATAAAGAAAGAACCGATCACTCAGGATGAAAAAGATGAATTCGATGCATTAGTCGATACTAATTCCAAAACCCTAGACCAAAGGCTAGAAAAGAAGATTGGAAAGAAAGGTTGGTATATCTTTTCACTCACTATACTTTACAGCAGGTATTACACATACTCTTACGACATATACTCTTTTATAAACAGGACTGAAACAAACAACGTTGTCATTTAAACCTTTAAAGAAAGGTGCCAAAAAGAAGAACAAGGACTCAGATTCGGAAATTGATGACATCGATTTTGAAAGCCTCTCACCAGTTCCGGCCCAACCACGATCGCGTAGAACTACAGGTATTGTTCAGTTTGTGCACTTCATTCAATGATAATCACATTTAAGGTTGTATTCAGGGTAAGATAAAAGATATGCCAGATTATTCAAATTTTGCCAGTCAGTAGATAATATTTAAAAAAAAAAAAAAAATTGTGCAAAATTTCAGCTCCTTTGCGAGCCTTGTTAAAAAGTTAGTACGATTTTAATTTAACACGAGTTCCTATGGGATTTTACGATATTCTGATATAAATTAAAAAATAACTGTAGATATAGATATGCCGTAATTTTTTGAAACTTTTTGCAGTTGTCAATAAATATCTTAAAAACAAATTCCACTCGAAAAAATAATTGTTTCGAGAATATCACGTAAAATATAAATTTATATTTTGCTAAAATTAATAAAAATATATATTTAATATACATAAAACAATTATATTTGTAATTTTATACATCAATTGTTACGTTTTAACGAACTTTTATGATTAATACATTTTCCAGTTTTTCATTTATCTTACGTTGCAAGTAGAGTATAATCTTACTCAAAAGTATCAAAAGTGAACATTAAAATGGCACACAAAATATACGTGAAAACTATTCCGTAATCATTAAAAGTATAATAAATAGTTTTTTAAACTTATTTTAATACAAATAATACTTTTCCAGCAAACAATTATTATCTAAATATTAAAATAGCTTCGGTTTACGCTATGTTTCTTAAACTTTTGACTGAGATCTTACCCTGAATACAACCTTAATGCGTTATATTATTTTGTAAAACGTTGACTCGCGCTATTTTCGCTAAATCTATTTGAATTCACAGCCAAGAAGAAATATAATATGAGCAGCGAGAGTTCAGACGATGGCAGTATTGAAAAGTTCAGTCCTTCTTCCGATTCTGAGTACGTATAATAATCGCTATGTTATTGTGTTTGTCAATTGTTTGTCAAATATTTATTATTCATTTGGTATATCTTTTCTTTCTAGACTCAAGAAAGAACCTGTGGTACTAAGCGATTCTGATGACAATTTTAAACCAATCAAAAAACCACCCCAACCGACACGTAAGCACATAATACGTATTTAAGTCGTCAGGTGTCAAATGTGTATTACGAATGTATTAAACATTTTTTTTTTTTTTTTTTTTTTCTACAGCGACTTCGGAAGAGCTTTTCGACTCGTTAGTTGGTAATTCTTCTTTGGAAAAGAAATCAATAATTTCCTCGTCCGGGGAAGACTCACCTACGAAGTTTACACCGCCCAAAAAAGGTAAATATATAAAACATTTATCTATTTATCCGATTAAAAACTGTTCTACATTATTATCTCCCGCATTACAGCACCTGCTAAGAAAAAGACTGAAAACGGCAAAGGAGTAAAGAGACAATTGAAGAAGAAACCAAAAATATCTGAGGACTCCGACACGGATGACATGTTTTCTAGTAAACAAAGTCCAGTAAGTGTGACAGTGTTTGGGTCAATATAAATTTTGTTTGCGGAATAAGTTTTTTTAATTAATTTACTTTTTGCAGACAAAGAAGAAGAAAAAGAAATCAGATTCCGATGAAGATGTAGTTGTAAGTGATTTATCACCACCACAATATCCCCGGAAAACGGGCGGTCGAGTTCGAAAACCCGTATCTTACGCGCTAAAATCCGACGACGATGACTCTGATTAAACGTCGTCGTGTTGCACGTGAAAAATAGATATTTTAGGGATAGTAGGGATTGACTGAAATACTTCAGAATTACGGATCTTGAAAGTGAAACTCCATGTGGTTTGTTTGTAAAGTATAGCACAAATTTATTCGGTGATCTTCAAAGATTTCGTTATCGAAGTCAACGATAATTATAATTAATTAGTAAATAATTTTATGTGCAAAACACGTTTTTTTTTCTACCGCTTGAAAAACTTGGTTGTAAAATTTACTTTAAGGAAAGAAAAGATTCATTTGGTACGTATGTATGTTTATGTGTATATGTGTGTGTGTGTTTGTGCACTTTTGAACTCTGACATTCTAAAATCTCCATGCAATCTAAATTATTTCTCGAATGTTTATAATTATTGGGAGCGTGTGAAGTTTCATTAAGTTGAATGTGTGTTTCCGCAAACCATCGTGGACGGTTCTGCAAAAAAAAAAAAAAGAAAGAAACAAAATTATCCGCTAACTTAGACGCATATAAATAAACTTTCTTGTTATATTGTTAAACAAGTTTTTTAAGCAAAAAATATCTTAGCAAGGAGACTGAATAGTATTTTCTATTGTGATGTATCAATGTAATTGCAACTTTTTTGTTTAAGTACAGATAGGATATAGTTTTCTTTCTTTCTTTAGAAAATTGAAAAAGATGTGTACAAGAGCAAATACATTATTGAAAGAACGTTTGATGCCGTCTACACTACACAGATTGTAATTAGCAATGCAAAAGAGTATTCTTTTCAAGATCTCAGATTATCACATAATATGTTGTATCAATTATAATATTAATCTCGTCGCCGGAATCTCATTTGTACGTCTCATTCTCTGTTAGTTCTCGATGTAACTTAGAACAAAAAAAAAAAAAAATAGAAAAAGAGAAAGAGACATGTGTACGGACATACCGGGAAACAAATGTTTTATAAAAAATGAAAAGAAAGGAAAATATGAAAAAATACACAATTTTTAAATATATTTTTACATACGTCACAATATGGATTTTTTTTAAGATTGTCTAAGACTATATATATATATAATATATATATATATATAAATTATACACAATTAAATGTCTATTATACATATATACACGCTCGCGCGCACATACTACACGCAAACAGAACGGGATCTTACTATGCGGCGCTCAATATCAATTAAACGAAACTGTCAAGTGTTACTTTAGGCTTTACACATAAATAATTAAAATATCTTCATGTTTTATTTTGTAGATAGATAGTGAAAAAAAAGATCGTAAACTTTTTAAAAAGCTGAAACGAGAATACAGTTCTTTTTGTACACCAAGAACTGAGAAAATCACAAATTTAAAATTACAGTCAGAATAAAGATCGAAGTGAAGGCTGGATATGAGTCAGAAGTTAATTAGTTTCTATAATAATTAAATTCTCTCCTCCTGTCTTAAACTTTTCTTCCTGTCTGTATAATTAACAGTTGTTATATTTCTTATATTAACACAAGATTTGAAAATAATTAACTTTGACGCATATTGGTGTGGTCGGTCGATCTCCTGACTATATATTATACACATATATGTGTATATATATATATATATATATATGTATGTATATATATATATATGTACGTATATACACACACATACACATATATACAAACATATATGTATATATGTATATGCATACACTAATTTTGTGTATTCTTGTTCACTCGTAGGTTAAGAATAAAGAAATTTGTGATTGCAATTAACACGATTTTACATTTGTAAGTAAAATATCTTGTCACAGAGTTGATTAAGGTAAAAGTACCAATCTCTGGACACATACTTATATCACTGGACACTTGTATCTCGCTTAGTCTTTAGATAAGAATAATTCCCGTATAAACTTATACATGTATATGTAATGTAAATATACATATACATATATAATTATACATCTACATATAAAGAATTTTATATATGTATATATATATACATATAAAATATATATATATATACATATATAGATAGATATATACGTCGATTTATCAACGAAACCTAGTTTATTCTTCCTGACTGCGTATGAGTTCGAGGAATATTTAGCGGCGTTGATGAGAGTTCATAATTTTTCATGTATAAAATATTTATCGTATAAAGAACCTATATATATAAATCATAGTGTGTTCTTATTGTAAGATTGAAACGATTTGAGTGTCCACACTTGTGACTACTTATGTGTATCATAGATTGATACTGTATTAATACCTTATATTAAATTTTCAAAATTGACGAGATTGATTCAAAATAATCACGAGCTCATTTTATATGTGCGCTTTACAAAAATTCTCAATCTAATTGATGTTTCGAATTTTTCGAACGATTTTTACTTTTATATAAATTTATTATTGTTCGTCTCGAAAGAAAAAAAGAAAGAAGAGAAACGAAAAGCAGCGGGGATAATATACAATGTGAAATGTATAAGTTATGTTTAATTAATAAGTTTACTAACTTTAAATTATACACAAATACGTAAATTTATTGCTATAACGTTTCATACATCATCCTCGACGCACTTTTTTCTTGGTTTTCTTTTATTGTAAGGAAGATCGTAAACTATAGCGAGAGACACGCAGAGGCGATTGCAAAAAAAAAAAAAAGAAAACAATTGTTTAAAATTGTGATATTTCTTGATGAATCGTCTTAATAAAAAACTGTTTTTCTATATTACTATTTTTCGTTGAGTAGAAAAAGCTCGCTTGTGTAGATTAATAAGTTCATTTTATAACTCTTATCTTTCATTATAAATTCTTCTTGCATGCACATGTTAATTTATCAGTTTTCTGTGAAATTGATAGAGGAAAAATGTGTGCAAATATAAAAAGTTTTTCAAAGTTGTGTAAATATTGTTCAGATAGTTGTCACCAAAAAAGAGATAGATGATATAAATAAGTATAGAGTTTTGATGATTTACTTTTTTAAATCCCAATTGTAACAATCGAGAAATAATTATATATTCAATTTTTACTTTTCATTAAAGTATAATACAAAATAGTAAATTAATATATTAAATTTTTCATTTATTATAGTGTAATTATTGTTTATCTCTCTGAGTCAACAAAAACACTTTTTAGATTTCTGTTAGTCATTATGAGAGTTAAGCAAAAACTAACTACGACTTACGTTCAGATGCTTTGGAATTATACAGCTTCACATAAAAGAGGTCGTCCAATGGACACGAGAGACACATGGTGTTGAGACAATATGTTTTGTGAAAAGAAAGCAAACCCCATCTTTGCAACTGCGTGTCTTCTCATAAAAAATAGGATTATAGGATGCGGGAACGGTTGGCATGTTTTGTCAAGATTGAAGCGACGGATCTAAGTAGTAGACTCTGTGTTCAGACTTGTAATGTATTCTCCTCTCTCACCACACTTTTGCCAATCACATTGATAGTATTGAGTCGTCAATCAATACCCGGTGCCCAATGTTGTATCAATTGATGCAACACTTTGTAACAACACACACACTCACTCGTTCAGTCTCTCTTTTTCTCTCGTTCGTTCTTAATGCACACTCTTTACTTCTCTCTCTTTCTCTCTCTCTCTCTCTCTCTCTCGTTTTCTTTTACTCCCAGAAGCTGCGGCTCGTCGACGGACGCGACTATAATACAAAGCAAGGGCACTTGATAAAATAACTTAGTCTTCTATTTCAATAATTATCTATATATAACGTACATATATATAAAACAAATTACGAGTAAAGAAATAATGATTGGGTCGGTATAGCGTTTTTTTTTTTTTTTTTTTCACGGCTCTTATATTAGAAATTTGTTCTTTCTATTTTTATATCTTTTTGTTTTCATTTTATCGTCTGATTAACGCGTCTAGTCGTTTTTGCACAAAACTTGTTTTATACACACATTTTGGATCTGCTTTTCTTGTATTTCTCTCCCTCTTTCTTTCTTTAGAGAAAAAAGGAGAGAAAAGAATGGAGAGGAGAGAGAAGAAAAGAGGAAGAATGAAGGAGGAAAAATGTAACGTGTAGTGCGCGTTTTGTTTTAGAACGAATTTTTTCAGTGTTTTAAAAAAGAATATATACAATGTGTGTGTAAAAATGGATTTTACAAGTATATAAAAAATGGTGGTGAGAACTAGAGGACTTCAATATTTTTCTTCTTCAATTTGGGGAGAACGTCATGACTTTATCTCTCTCTCTCTCTCTTTCTCTCTCTCCCTTTCTCTCTCTCTCTCTCTCTCATCCTTTCTCTCTACACAATACTCACTTCGCTCTCTATTAGACTATCGTTCCGATATTATAAAGTCCATTCTCCTCTCAGAATAGGAACAACCAACCAATTTCCTTTGTATACTCATATACGTGTGTGGACGTGAATGCGCGTGTATATTGATCGTTATTCGAGTCATGATACAAGTAATAATTGTTAATATTCGAATAAAGTAACATGATGCGCGGGCTGAGCATTCACGGAATGCCAGAAACCGGCGCTGGAGGTCATGCGAGGATAGAGCCACCACAGTTGTCTTCCTACTGTCAATGCTTATCATCGTTCTTTTTACACCATATATATATATATATATATTATGTCGAATTTTTATCAGTTTATATGTATTTATATTTATATATATAGTATAAATATATACACACTCACACACTAATTTTAACAATCCTCTAGCGTCCGTTCACGCACACTAAAACGCCAGGAGAGAGGAACGTCGTTTTCAGGAAAGCGATTGTTCCGATTGCTTTTGTGAATTTCTTCCTTTTTTTTTATTTCCCTCTCCTACTCTCTTCGTTGCTCTCTTTCTTTCATCAAGTTGCTTTTGTTTCCACCGGAAGAATTCTCGTCATTATTCGTTTTATTACTTGTCGCTTTCTCTTTCTCTCTCTTTCTCTCTCTCTCACGCACGCGCGCACACACACACATACACGCACAAACACGCATGCTCTATTTCCCCCCTCCCCCTTAATCTAGGCGTCACTTTTATCTTGTAATGACTTATCACATGTTTAACTTCTCGTTCGCACGCTCGTTCGTTCTCTCTCGCTCTCGTTTCTTTTAAACGCTATTATCAAGTTAGCGCACTGTTTGATACAAGGAACGATAATACAATTGAATATTTACGAACACAACATTGTTTTTTTTTTTTTTTTTGTCATGCTGAATAATGTGGCATGGCTTGTAGAAAGACGCAAGCTTCTGGACTTGCGGATGACCAGTCTCGCATCTCTCTTGCAATGTCCTTATGTAATCGATCCTGTAAGTATAGTTGTGACGGTGTGGTAATGGCGGTGGTAAATTGTGTGGTAATAATTGTGGTGGTGGTGGTGGTGGTGGTGGATGGTGATGACGGTGATAATAACCAGTTTTTTTTTAGTATTTACAATTGGTTATAGCAATCGTTATTTTCCTAAGATGAGATGATGTGCACAGTCCGAGCGCTCAAGATTTGGCATGTATTGGTACATATCAAGGATATTAGTCTTTCCTTAGGTCTTCCTCTCCACTACGAACTGCTCGACGCGTTCATACCACTGAACATGCCGATGTTAAACGAGCTTTGCTGCTGCTGTTGAATTTGTTGTTGTTGCTGCTGCTGCTGTTGGCTGTTTGCTTGTCGGCCATGTTTTGGCACTGGGGGTTGCAGGTATTCGTGTCTAGCTAGTGTTAATACGTCTATACGCTCCTCTTTTCTATATGCTAGGCAACTTCTTATGAAACTCTGTAACAAAATTATCATGTTAAAGAAAAAAACTGATTTTTCACGTATTTTTTAAGCAATATATGTATATATTACTGGCAAAATTGTACCTTTGCTTCGTTGCTAACAGTCGGTTTATTCGCGAATTGAACTTCAGTGGCTTTCAGTATCGTGTTCTCTTCTAAAATAGTGGCCTGCGATTGGTTGTGACCAAAAGGCTACAAAAAAATATACACATATAACACATTTTTATCATATTTACAATAAGCGGAATTTTATATGCGCGATATTGCGACAAGTACCTTTTTACCATATAGGCATTGATAAAATATAACTCCTACGCTCCAAACATCGACTTTGGATGATATTTTAGGAGGATTTTTACCGATAACGAAACACTCAGGGGGTAGATACCTGTAGTGAATACGATTAACCATTAATTATATTAACAATTACTGGATTATAGTAAAAATATTGAAAGATAAACAATGAAGGCACAACTCACCAATAAGTACCAGCTCCTTGAGACGTTAGATCCATTCCGTGATCTGGATTATAATTCTCCTCATCCATAACTTTACTTAAACCAAAATCCGTGATTTTTATCTCACCACACACATTGCCTTCCGTTAACAAAATGTTACCTGATAGAAAAGAAAGTAATTTTACAGTTTTGTTTATCACTTTTGTTTTTGTAATTAGAGATTTTTTATTAAAAACAATTTTGATCATACAAAAGATTATCAATCAATAATAAAAGAATTTGTATTTATTACCTGGTTTTAAATCATAATGTATGACTGGGGGTTTTATTTCATTGAGGTACTTTAAAGCCGATACAACTTGCATAACAATAGATCTTGCTTCCCTCTCGGGTATAGTCTTATGCTAGAATGATAAATTTAAAAAGAATGTAAGATAATGTAACCACATGTCGTTCAACGTACGTCAGCAAGAGATTTCATAAAATTATGTACAAAAGACATTTACCTGCTTCAAGTAAAAATCTAAATCATGACCATCACAATATTCCAGAACGGTACAAAAGGAATTGGCATCAATTTCAAATACATCGTATAACTTAACAACTCGGGGATGATCCAATGCTTTATGTATATTATATTCTCGCAACGCATGTCTATTGCAACAGAAAAAAAATTATTACGTATTAAAATACATTCAAACGTTTTTTTTTTTTTTTTTAAGCAAAATAGTTCTTAAAGCATTTCCACATTATCTAATGATAATATCGCAAGTTTTAAAGCAGTGTGGATAAAAACTTACTTTATATAATTAGCCTTTTTATCTTCTTTCCAGTCTTTATTCAATTGATGCACCTTGCAAGCTACGTATCGTTGCTCTTTTAAGTCAAATGCCTACAGGAAAAGACACGACAAAATTAAGAATAAAAGAAAACAATAACAATATTTTATTCTCGTTACAGCCATATTGAATTGTGACGTTAAAAGTGAGAAAGAGTAAAATATGTAAAAAATTAAAATAAAAGAGTAACTCAATACACAAACACTTTTATTTGATATTGATATAAAATATTACCTTATGCACTTCGCTGAAACCGCCTTTTCCTAATAACATTAAGAGGAGATAACGTTCGTTCAAAACAGGATGAGAGTTAAATCTCGATTGGTCCTCGTTGTGAATACGCTTTAACTCCCTGATGTGTAAATTACGTTCTCTTTCGAGTTTCTCCATTTCTACTTGCAGATCCGCATCCTCTTTCTTCAACGCACTTTGCCTTAACTAAAAATTATACACAGACATAAGTAAGCTCTAAGAATAATGAAAATATTGATATTTTTTAAGAGAATACGATATATAAAGTACATTTAACATTACCTTGAGTATTTCGTCAGCTTCATAATACTCCTGCCACGTATATGAACCAGGTACCGCATCCGGTTTCAAAAACGTCGCTTCAGTGCCGTTATGCAAAGAGGGTTGTGGTTGACTACGTTTTCTGCCAGTCTCACTATTCGACGGCCTCTTCTTCAGCAGCAGCTTCTTCTGTTTGTCAATTTCTTCTCGCTCAGTCGCTATCTGCTCCTGCCGTCGAGCAAGTTCTTGAAATGCATAACCGTCGGTCCAGTTCTCTTGAAAGGTCGCGCCTACCCTTTGCGTCACGAACTGACCCAACCTCAGTCTATTTTGCATACACTTTTGTCTAGCCTCCTTTTTTTCTATGTTTGATTTTTCTTTTAATAACTTCTTTACAACGTCTATACACTTATTTATATGTGATTTGTGCTGCTCAATCACTTTCTGTTGATTCGCCATTTGATGTCTGAGTTCATCTGTTGTCTGCAACAGAAGATGAAAAAAAAAAAAAAAAAAAACATTACTTTGAATTAATTGCCCCAGTATGTCATTATTATCACTATACATAACAAAGTTTGTTTGCATAATAAGCATTTTTAGATTACATATTTGATCGAGTATAGTGGAAATTGTTGTTTAAAGAATGATAGACCGTTTTTACTTCACAAAGTAATGATCAAAACTATAATCTTTTACTTACCCTATTTAATTCATCAATTTTGTTGTTACGTAGTTCTAAGTCTGACGAAGCTTGTGTTTCAAACTCTTGTATCCTCTGGCAAGTAAGTTCTGTCTGGAATACAATTTGTATAATTTTACGATAAATGAAACATGATGTTACCGTAACATCTGATACATTTGTCAGCATTGCTCATAAATACTGGATACCTTGCACGTACAAAGCATATACATATATGTACATATATATATATATAATATATATATATATATATGTATAGTATATATATATATATATATACACACACGCATATACATAAAACAATTTAACAAAACTTGTCAATAATTTGTCTGAAATGTTATGAACACTATACCTTATACATATGTAAAGTGTTCATACTCAGCAAAGATAACTTTGTTAATTATTTGTTGAAATACATAACATTCTATTGTTTCCATATTCGCTCTACATATGACATATGACTTTCTGTTTATCAAAAACAAATTAGAGAGCAAAACTTAGGCAACGTGAGCAAACGCTGAGATGAAACTGAGGGTCACACAGGCAGCAAGGAAAACACCAAATGTATGCATATGTAAATAATACTTATATAAACGTTAATATATATATATATATGTATATATATATATGTACATATGTATACATATATATATATATATTTATATATATATAGCAGATTCCGTCAACAGCACGTGATTTGAAATCAGCAACATGTCGTTTAAAAAAAAAAAACAAACAAACGTAAATCGGCCATAAAATTTGACTGCTTACAGAGAATGAAATAAAATAATTAGTAAAGTGGCTGGCTAAATATGCCTGATAAATAGAAAAAATCACATGCTGCTCTTACTGGAAAGTCTACTATAACAAAATTGCTAGTGGATTTTATTTCGCGAAACAGTATATTGGACTCATTAGAACTCAAATGCAATATTCAATGAATCCTACAAAAAAAATGTGCATATGCCAAAGTAATAAAATATGCGCCTTCAACGTTCGCTCATACTGAGCGACCAGTATTTAGAATTTATTATTTTTGAAGGCACTTTATTAAATTTCTCAAAAATTTCATAGCGAAGAATGTCATTACAAGATAGCCTGTATTTGTGTAATAACAAATGTATACAGAGCTACAGTTCGGTACAAAATTAGCTCATTTTACTGCAAACATTTGACAAGAAATGCCCATTACACGTTTTCAAGTGCAGACGTGTGGAAAATTTGGTGTTTCTAATATAATCCTATGTATATAAACTGCATATCAAAAACTATCAAACTATAGTTATAAAAATATACAATTTTAGAATAAAGAGAATAAACTAGAAAATTATCTCTTCAAAACAGATATCTGAGTACACATTCGTATATTCGCAGTTTACAGTATATTTTATCTAGAATTTCGAAATACTTTAAATACCGATTGAAAGTTGGATTATCTCTCTAAAGATGATAATGTAAATCTTTTCGTTGCTATTTACATCAATTCTCTCGTGATCTTTATCAAGTTTATCTTCAGAAAACAATTATTAGAATGACACTTTTTTTTAAACAAGCACCTGTTTTATTTTTAAGTGCAATTTTAATGACAATAAGACTCCGATTTAATTTTAAACTATGAATCAGAAAAGAAAATTGCACACTATCACATATAATGAACTTTTTGAAAAGTTTTGAAAATGTTTAAACTTACATATTCTTGCCACAACTCGATATTGTGGCGCAGAGACACTAATTCCACACTGGGTCGTTTCTTATAAAATGCTTGCAAATATTATCGAACTTTGCTTACATTATGGGTGTTAGTCTTCGCTTGCCTGACCTGGCTTGTCCTATTGAGGTTGGTAGGCCTTACCTGGACCTGCTTGCTGACCATCGAGCCCGCAGGTTGTGTTGAGGTTGGTGGTGGAGGCGGTGGAGGTTGAGGATGAGGTCTCGGTGGTTGCATCAAGGAAGAAAATTCCGCCACTGAAGAATTAGGTGTCGTTACTTGTGGATTAAGTAACTGTTGAGGCGATGGTGGATACTGTTGGCAAAAAAAAAAAGAAAAAAAGAAAAATAAAAATGTATATTATACATAGAAAGAGAAGTTAATGTTGTCAATATTCTAATCAACATTTGTTTTAGATCTTACCATAGGATAACCTTGCTGAGGAGAAGGACTCTTGGCTCCACCATGCCGAATAGGACTGTTGGCCAAATGGTGCTTGGGAAAATACTCATTGATTTTCTTATTATCGAGAGCAGAAACCGATCTAGCACCTTTACTTGCCACAGATCCACCTGGGGCACCCCCACCTCCATCATCTTTACGCTTCCTCTTTCTTTCAGAAGTAGTTCTTGGTACCTTTTCTGGAGTGTTTGCATCCACCTCCTTATCACTATGTGATGAGCCTATATAATTTATAGTATTTTATTAGAAATATTATAATCATAATAAATAATAAATATAAAATATATAAAAATTGTCTTAATTATAACAAAATATTCAGCAATAGAATAGAAAATTTTCCAGATCCACTGAACTTGATTTCCAATGCAAATAAGTTATGTAAAAGATCAGAGTCTTGTGCAAAGAGAATTTAATTATTTCTATCAACAAAAATGTTAACTTACCAGTGCTCATGTTCGAGTCTTGACTATAAACTGTCTGACCAGAGTTTACGGTTGTTTGGGGTGCCATCTGAATTTGTGACCCAGCGGACATCTGAAAAAAAAAAATAAGGGACGTGAAATACAACGAGAACAAATCGCAACAGAAATAGTTAAATAAAAGGCAAAAACGTTGAACAAACCAGCGTTGGACTATAACAACGAAGAACGTTTGTACGATTTGATTGTTATCGGAAGTATTACGGGACGTCGCCACATAGTAAAGACCCAGTCGAAACGTAGAAGCGCACAGGACCGAACTCGAACAACAGCAATGACAACGTCGAGAATGAGTACGAGACCGACGAATACGGGAAGCAAAGGCGAGAGAAGCGAGTCGATGATGATCGTTTCTCGGCGGTGCCGAAAGAGGTTACACTATACGAACGGCGAAACCCGGCACACGACGCTACGGCTTGAGAAAATCGCGTCTTATTAAAAAAGACACAAGATTAACACTTTGGAGAGAACAAACTTGATAGAGGATAGAGTGAGACTTATGGAGCGGAGGAGAGAGAAGGGAGCATGAGGGGCATCGGGACGGTATGGTGGGGCGAGGAAAGAGAAACAGAGAGTACGGAGAGAAGAGAGAATGGAAGCGCGTAAAAGAGCAATGGAGACAAGGAAACGTGTGCGCGTAGAGATAAAAAGAAAAGGGGAACAACGATATACGGGGATTGACACCTTCCAGGAGGACGACCTACAGTAAAGTCCCATAGTAATCGCCGTTCGAAGTCACAGTGACAGTATGTTAACTGCGAACGAAATTTCGCACACGGAAATCTCCTGTCGCAGAGTGACAGCGGTGGCGTGTGCAAGGAAAATATTCGATTTACGTTTAGAGCTAGAGGAATCACGACAAAATGGAGGACCTTAGAGTGGCAGGAGGGCGGGAGGGAGCGGAAGGGCGACGAAGATTCTAAGGGGCAACGAGAACGCGGGGGAGGGGGAAGGCGAACGGTGACTGCGGGGGGAAGGAAGGTTACGTTACGTTGGTTAGGATTAAGTTAGGTCAGGTTAGGTTAGGATTAAGTTAGGCTAGGACGACGGGCGAGGGGGTAGAAGGTAAGAAACACGATTCGAGAAGTGTATGGGGGATTAAACTACAGATGCGTACCGCGAGGGGGCAGGGTGGTTTTACTCACTACAGTCGCGCCTCTGAACTTCTCCGCGCCCTGAGACCGGCCTCGGCGCTTTAACTAACTTTGATGTCGCGCATATTTTCGCACGCGGCGAGACCGCGGTCACTGACGAGGAAAGGCATCAAGCGAGGGCGCGCGCGTGCTGCTTCTTCGATTAACAGCATCGATAAGCGAGCAAAGAGCGACGACATGCTAAGTCATATTCGGCCGGCGCGCGCCAATCTGACGTTTTGCGGTTGCCAAGTGTCACGCGTAGCAATAAATTACGCATCTATGACACGCGTGTCTTTTACCGTCGCTCATTCGCTCAAGTTTTCTCGCGTACACACGCGCTTACGTGCGCTGTACTCGCGCGTATCTCTCCTATCTTTAGGCTAATACGAGCGCATTCCACCATAGCCGCGAGCAAATCGGTCTTGTTAGCGATCGTCGCCGCGAAATCTAGGAGAGAGAGAGAGAGAGAGCACAGCTACGGAAAGTGAACGCTATATTCTGGGAGAAAGTTAAATGCGTGCAAATCCAGTATATCTGGATATTACCGCAAAGTAATTGAGTTTTTAGTTTTTGTATTTAGTCGCGGAAGAATTGTCGTTACACTTTGAGAAGATCTTTCGTTGGGGGAATATCACCTCACGGTTTGCTACTGGAAAAACATTGAAAGTACACATGCAGAAAGCGGCAAAGACGAGCCAACACTCTTTGACGTGTAGTTAGTATTGTCAAAAAAACTATAGTCTATAATCCTGGACGTAATTGCAGATTTCATCGCGTCCTAAATTTGATTTTCAAATTCTCTGCTTTGTTGTGTGACATTTATATAAAATATATTTATATTTATAATATACATCTCGATGCGTAAGAGATCGAATAAAAGAAAGCTTTGTAAAAAAAGTTTTTTTTTGCCGAGTTAAGAAAAGAAAGGATATCGCGGCTGCCACTTTACTCATTAAGAATTAGTAATTAATGTTCTTGCAGTGTAATGATTTCATGTGAAAACAACAAAGCGTAACGTCTAATAACTCTGATATATTACCTTATAATTTTCTTATACTTTTATAATTTTACGAGTCTTTTAGTTGCGATAAGAATATAATTTTATACATATGTATATATATATATATATAAATTTTTGAGATAAAAATAATTTTACGAAATAAATAAATTAATATTGTTTACTTTCGAGACTTACCTAGACTATAAACAGAAAATGAAATCTTATAAATCTTTTTCCAGTCAATAACACTTTCGATCGCCATAAAAATTGATATCCCGAATGAATTTGTGTGACATAGAGACAAAAAATAAAAAAGAAACGATACGTCTTACGTAGTCAAAGTCCGATGTATCGGGAATCGATGTATACAAAACATCCTCGGAAAATGTGTATTAATGACTTGGTGAATTATTAATGAATTAGTAATTTTCATATTTTTAGATTAGATTCTACATATCAAATGCTTGAGCGAGTATAATATTCAACGATTTTATGAGTATTTGATTTTTATTATTTTTTTTTATTTAATAAAATACACACGATTAAATAATTAATTAAAATAATTAACAATAAGACACGCGTGTGTTTTTAATTTTAAATTAATAAAAAGAATTATACAGAGAGAAATTGTATGTTTAATCAAAACACACACCAGCGATGAAACTTTAGAGACACGACCGTTTCTGAAATCTGTGAAAATACGATAGAGAAAAGTGAAAAAACCGAAATATTCAATCTTTGAACTATGTGCAAGCAGAAAGTGATTCTCAAAGAAAAGGCATTACGTCATTGAATCTCTATCTTCTAATCTTATACTTAATTGTTTCTAGCCATAATTCGCGCCATTCCGCAAATTCTCCGGTCACGTGAGCGCGATAGCACATTACGCCGCTGAACCGCGACTATGCGGCAACGAGATACTCGTCTCGCGGATTCCTCGCGCATCGCGCACGAACAAATCCACCACAGGAGAGGACAGCAAACTTCCTTATCGATGGATCAGTGACCGTAGCCCGGAACTGGGCTAGAGGGCCGGCAAGGAAAGAGATGGAGAGAGAGTCTCTTCGCTGTCGGAGCGATCTACCGTCAAGAGACGAATGACACTGTACATGTATGAACGCGCACAGGCAGATATGCGTTCGCGCGCGCGCGCGCGTGCGCGTGTATGTGTGTGTGTGTATATACATGTATGTACGCATATATGGAGCGATTCGAGCACGCAGAAGCAAACTGACGTACGTACGTATATACAAACCCAGTAAATCGGGACATGCAGACTTTACTGTGCACGTCTGTAACCCTGGCGACCTGGCCCTGGCGTGGCCATAACCGCGAGGTTGGCCTGTTCACGAGTAAACCGTGTTCGAATACGCGGATCGAATCACGACGTTGTAGCTCGTTGTACATCTACGAGAGGAGCTCTTTTTCTCTTTCTCTCCTCCCCACCTTTCTTTCTATCTCTGCTCGTTTTTCTCTCTCTCGCGCCTTGCCGCACGAGATCCGTTCACTTCGTTTCCTCCTGGATACGCTCGTGAATGTTGGCGTGCGGCTGGCGCGCCGGGTAAACAGCGGAGATGGTAGCATCAGCGACAGCACAGGCAACGGCAGCAGCACCGGGTGGCGTCAATGAGCACAGCAAACGGCATCACGCGTACGCTCTCCTCCTCGCTCAGTGTGTTACGAGAACGCGAGCCAAAAACCCGGCGCGTGGACTCGCCTAATCGAAACGGAACTGGAACTGTCCGACCACCGTGCCGCCGCCGCCGCCGCCGCCGCCGCCACCACC